TAGTAACTAACAGGTGAAATTTCATGAATGTACAAATTTTGTTGTTTATATGGAGTGTTTTTGTATTATTTTACCTGTACTAAAAGGGGTTTTTATGACTTCTTCTTCGTTCTTTGGTTATTAATACCATAAGATAAGCAATATATTTATTAGTTCTAAAGAATATTTTTGTACAAGTACTGGTACAAATTTCAAAGGGATTGTGTGTGATTATTATAACCATTGACTTTATCGGACGGAATTAACCTTAAGACTCTCTTTAGCATCCATTAGGATAAATCTTAACGAGTATGTCTTATCGATGGCATAAAATGAAAATTAAATGGAAATGTGCTTTATTGTACAATCTTTTTTGAACGTACAACAATCATACATTCTCAAGCATTAATAAAACAATGGTTATAAAACCGCCTGCTTGGTTAAGAAATATAACACATTAATTTATATTTGTGAACACATACAAAAAAAGAGAGTACGTTATTGACGAAGGACTTGGAGATAAAATAATCGATGGTATTGTTTGCTTTAAAAGATTATAGTTTCTTTTTCTGATTCTTAGTTTAATACTGCCACTTTCGGGTTGAATCTTTGTAAGTGTAAGGTCAATGGGCGAACTCAAAGAATCATACAGCAGACGTAATTGTTATGTAAAACAAAATTAGAATATGAATAATATTACATAATCAGATTGACTCATCCGCTAGCAGGATATGTATGTCTATTTGCGGTGTTTGTATGCATTCTGTCAAAACTAATCATGAGACTAGTTAAACTCTGTTAATGCAATGTAGCACACGATATATTTATAATTACAATGATGTAATGTATTTGTTAGGGGTTAGAAATTATTATGGAGTTGAATAATGGCCAACATAGTTTGTTTATGTTTATGATTGCATAAAATAATTAAAAGTCAAAACACTGAAATTACGTTTAATTATTTTATTAACTTGCTTAATGTTTACTAGGAACCTTTACTTATTAGAAGGATTTTTTTAAACGACGTTTACTACATGAAAAGTGTTTTAAGTGTTTTATTTTTGTATGATTTTTAGTTTAAATATATAACAACATCCAAACCCTAACCGCAATTTAAATATTGAAATATTTAACATTTCAATATGCACTGCGAAAATGAAAACTATGCATATAATGTGAACACATGATTGTATGTTTGCATATTTGTGGGGAACGGTCCAAACCCCGTGATATAGCCAGATAACGGACGGTTGGAGTTTTCGGTTACGTGGCCTTATTCACGTGCCTCAGGTTAGTTGGTCATGACGACGCCAGACAGGACGCGTCGAAACGTCGAAACCGACAATACAAGGGTTAATAGCAATTTAATACAATTAAAAAATATTAAACTTCACTAGCACAGTGTTTGACGAAATGGGCTTGTTTTTTTATATTGAATAGAATTTCGTGTTGTGATTTTGTTCGAATATTATAGAGCGTAAATATAAGTAGAGAAATTTATAAAAATGTGATAATGACCTAAGGGTATTTTATATATTTTCGCGGTAATTGTCATTGGACTAGGATTTTGGTCCAAATTCAATAAAAACATAACAATCAAAATTAAGCAACTTTTTGTATTTATTCATATGGGGCTATGACGTTTAAAAACGTCCTCTCTGAGACAAGTTAATTTAAAGGAATTTGATAACAAAACAAACTCCATTGTGAAACAAAAATATTACCTACCAAAAGTAATAAAATTGTACTGGTATTGCTACCTTATAAATAAATGAAGTAATCACAATCCTAATAATATTAAATCATAGTTACGCAATAATACGGATTTTGGATTATCTCCCAAATCAAACGTACACTTTAAAAAAAAATCCGTAAAAGTGTTTACCTTTACGTATTGATAGGCCTCCAACTAACTTGAAGATTCCTCCTCGAGGATTTGCCAAAGAAAAACTCGCTGGTGGAAAAAATGAATTATCTAATAAGAATTGGCAAGTTCTGATATCCTACCAGCTAATTTTGATTTCCCGTGTAACCTTCGCTGAATCCCTATTTGACGTGGAAGCCGACAATCGGTAATTCAAAGTAATAGAAATCTAAATAATAAGGAGTGAAAGTATCGTCTGGGTCTGGCGCGACGTGCTTTCTCCCGGGGATCTGTTGGCAAGGACGACTGTGACGATAAGGATATTCGGCAACTAGTAGGTTAGGTGATAGAGCATCCTGGAAATAGTATAATGCTTTGAGTGATGCAAGTTCTATGGATTCGGGTGATTGGCTAAATTGTGTACCGACTATTATAGAAAAAGATTATGCGATTAAAGAATTATCAGATGGAAGAATAATGACTTTTACTACTTCAGCAGTCCAAATAAACAAAAAAAACATGAAACATCTTATTTCTCGTCGGTTACTGATGGCGGAGCCCGTCGGACCAATGGGTTATTGCCTAAAAAAGTGCGGAAGGCGTCGGAAGGCGTCGGAAGGTGTCGGAGACTTGTCGGATCGGAGAGCGTCGGACTAGTGGAACGCTTGTCACACGCCAACCATGTCGTGGTTGTCAGGGATCGAACCCGTGACCTGATGCGTGGACCCCTGGCCGTGTGTCTGGGTCGTGACTTCCTACAGACATGGTCCGACATGCTCTCCTGAGGATTACACAACGGCAAGAAGGCTATAGAGGTTGTAACGTTGGTAATAATCCATTCTATAATAACCTGGTACATTGGTAGTGGTTGTACCTTTTCCCTCTTGTTCTTGACACAACTTCGACTGTTGATTGGTTTAGTTTTTGTTTTTTATGGTTGCGTTGAATATATTATTACATTTCGGTTAAATAATGCGTGTTGGAGCTGTGTTAAATATTTGTGTTTCAATTGAGTACAAAAATGAGTTATTATTGGTTAACCACAAGATTTAAACTGGTAAAAAATTCTTTTTGTGTACAAATGTTTATGGTTTGTTAAATTTGTAATCTTATGTGATGAAAATGCATTATGCATCATCTAACACAAATGTCACAAGTTTTCAGTTTTGGTAGAGCATTTTTTAGACAAGTTGGTTGGCCCATCTTCTAAAAACTTTTTAGTTTTTAATAAAATACAACTTAACAAGAAAAAAATTATTAGATAGTTAACACGTGAATCCAAATTTCCAGCAGATTCTATTTTCAATAGGAGCGTTTTAACAATTAAACGACAAATATTTTTTCATCACTCCGTAACGAAAGTAACTATTTTCGATAACAGCTAACATCAATGAAAGTAGCCGTTTCCCAAGCTCTAATTTAGGGCGAGGAAAAATCGATCAGCTGATTTTCCCTCGCTCTAAATTTACTTTCGTCGCTCTCAATTAGTTCTCCATTTATTCACTACGCGCGCTAGTGTTAGAAATATACAAAGGTTTCCTTTCAGAAGATTTTATTTTGATGTTTAAAATAAATAATTTAGAAATAAACTAGTTGTAATATTACTGAGGTCTGTTATTCTGTGTTTGTGTATTTTTGCGTCGTGATGAAAAGTATCGTTCATAACTCGTACCGAAAGTTATTTTCCGGCTCTTGCTCCATTATTCCCGTCCTCGGCTTCGCCTCGTACGTGAAAATAGCTCTCACATACTCGGCTTCGCCTCGCATGTGAAATTGGATTTTCCTGTGTTCGGCTTCGCCTCACACAAAAACTTGAGCGCGCTCCGGAAAATGCCACTTTCGGTCCTAGTAATGAAATATACTATTTCAAGAAAATATAGAATGGGTATCAAAATATATTTCAATAGAACACTCGAAAATTAAATGCTAGTTTTACGGTTAGTTTAGTTTCACCCATTCTATTTATAATACAGTCATAGCAGAGGTACACTAGCAACATATAATCTGGTCTGACTTCTGAAGTTTGAATTCAACCAGTGTATTGCACCTATAATTTGCCTACCTACTTTGGCATTTACTTGGGTGGTTCTCTCACAGTGTCAATATTGTACCAAACAGTTCGACTCCACCTTTGACGTTCATGTGACGCAAACATCGACGGAGACGAATCAGCTGTGACGCACGTGTTTACGATTTACAATGGTTACGCTGAGTAGTAAAACTGCTTGTTTTCAGTTTGATTCATTGTTGAGAGAAATAGTACATACAATCGACGATGCGTTTAATAATTACGGGCCTGAATAGACTTACATACATGTACATGTTGTGAATTTCATTAAGTTCTGAATAGTCGTTTTTGTTGTACAAAATTTCAAAGTCACTTGTCACACAGAAAATCACAAAAATTGGTCCTTTTATATTCTAACCTCAATAAAACACTCCTAAACGCAGGATAATGATTCTTTTGCCTATTATTCGCTCATCACTATAAGCAGGAGCTGTTATTTAATGAATATTTTCTAATAGTATATGTGCGACTGGTTGTGATGTATAGAGCGCAGGGCTCCGGGTTGTAACCTCGCTTAGACACGTCAATCTAGAAAAAATAAATAATTGATGAGTAGAGCAATAAATATAGAACATTCCTTCCGCCAAAAACCATAACCTACAATAATTTGAAATTGGACACCTTCAGTTTATTTGTTAATATTTTCCCTCCGATTTGGACATATTTTAACACCCTTTCCATTGGACCAATTAAAATTGGAGATTGTCTTACTGAAACAGTATAATCAGCTGAATCTCCAGACAATGGATTCATCACTCTGATACTATACATTCTGATATATCTGCTCTATTCTTCCGTTCGTAGTAGCCAGTATTTTATCGCTAGATCTCTAGATGGTACTGCAAAATGGTGGAAACTGAAATATTCTTCATCACTACATTATCTCCAGGGATTGTTGGTCGACGTAGATATAGTTTAATATGCAGTAGTAATCATCATTCGATTGCAAATTATCTGTACAGTTTCACTAGTCATTATTTGTTAGGGCTACTTATACTTGGTATTAATATCGTGATTTATACTTATATTTCCCCATATTTAGCATCCTATTTTACCCAACTTGGTTAATAATGTTTTTATTTTTTCCAGAACAAGTCGACGCAGACGCCAACAATACAGTTCCTAGGAAATGATGGGGTGAGTATCAAGTCTTTATTTTTGTTTGCTTCGTAAGTTTAACATTACCACCAATAGAAATGACTGAGATCAAAATTCTAGATACAATTTAATTACGTTGTTCTCCGTCAGTTTTTTGTCAGAAGAGTCTTTATTTCTTTCCAATTAAAATACCGCTGAATACGGTTTCATTTTTTTTTTGTTCGTGTTATGTTAGTAAACGCACATAATATAATTGAGAGGGAAACTTGAGATAATGATCTTGAGTATTTATTACACAATCTTTTAGGTGTGGACCGGTTGAATCAGTTTTTGAAAGTATACTTTTTAAAATAATTAATTATGGGTCCTTCAAACAACCTAAATACGTGCACAACTATTGTTTTTATTCTAGTAAAATGAATTAGCACTAACTTGAATGGCGTATTATTGTAATATTTGCAGTATTGATGATAAAAAAGCCTAACAGGTTTAAAATCATGAACCTACGTTTATTTCTTACTTATAAAAGTTTATGTTCTGGTGTGATAGAGGTTCGATATAATACGTGATCCAAATATAGTTCTGTTGTCACCGGGTCTGTGATCCAACTGTTTATGGAATCGTTGAGGTTTAGTATCATAAGCTCAATGATGGCTTGTTGGGCTAGTATTGTAGAGACTAATATTGTATTGATTTTGACCTAAACTCGGGTTTAGTGTACAAGAAGAATAGTATACGCTCTGCACATGATTTTAGTTCAAATATTGTACTAACTACTTTAAACTTTGTGAGAAAAAGATATAGGCCCTAGACAAGTAGACAAGTAAAAATGCCGAAGAATAGGTTGATTACAAGCGTTTTTAAAGTTGAATATTGAAGACTTCTTAAAAACGTTTTCAATTTTGTTGATCTCACAAGTGATTTATGAATCGTTTACAAAAAACAAAATAACAATAATTTACTAACCATGATTTGCATGGTGTTATAACTACGTCAACTTAAAATGCTGAACATTCACTCGCTGCTGTGAATTGCGTTTTTTACTGGCTTGACTCACATCGTTCATATAGACCTTTTGTAAATTTCTAACGGTAGATTTGTGTCGAGAATTTAAACTTGACATATTTTTCCCATCAATCACGATATATTGCGGTAATTCGAAAGAACAAGGCGAATACGCTTCCAAAACAAGCAACAAAACTTGAAGCGTGTTAAGTTGGGAAGAACACTTTGAACCTCTTATCTGGCGACTTATTGACAAAGTTATGTAAAACTTGTTGAGACTCAGATAATAGAATTAGTTCCACGAAGACCAATTACTGATAATGTGGAGTAATTATGAAAACAATAAATACATACAATGGAAATATTACTTATGTCGATAAGTATGGCTAAGTATTACTTAGTCGGTAAGTAGTGTACTTACGGGTGTACGAACTACGTTTACAATATAACTGCATTTAGTTTTGTTACACATTTTTTTGGTGTGAATACGGTTATTAAAAAATACACGTTTCTGAACTAACTTGCAATAAATTAGTTGTTATAGTTAGCCTCAATACAAACAATTCGTGGATTTAGCACGACTATTTGTGGACTCGGAGGTTGTAGAGTTTGGATTTTGTCGAGTTATCTGGAACATTGAACTTTTTAATGGGTTTTAATAAATAAATTCATAACAGACTAATGTTTACGTATAAATTTATTTTTTGTATAACATATTGAATAAACAATCTTCAAAGAAATGTCGGATACTAATTTGTTGAAATAATGAAAAACGCATGTTCGTCATCATACACCTCGTTTAGTTATGGGATGGCCCGGTGGTACAACATTACTGTAGGATATGTAACCGACGGTACAAAGTAGCGGGTAGCGAGTGGGGTGGCGCGGTGGAGGTCAGCTGTTATCTACAGCTGATAACAACAACAGCTGGTGGAAACAGCTGATGGGACGGACAGTCAAGGTCAGAGACCTTGTATATCTGTATTCACCAACTGGGCACAAATACATGGAAAGTTTATATTGCTTGCTAGACAACGAAACTGACCATTCGGATTTGGCCTTGTCTAATGTTTATTTATATATCAGAAAACTGTAAACACAACGATAATTAAGTTTTTATATGTTAATGACAAAGCAAATTGTATGCTCTTCAGTTAGTTTGGTCTCCATTCCTAGAAAATATCTAAATTCAAAACATATGAAAAAAGTAACCTGGGGTGTTCGTCACACTGCAGCCCAAAACAACTGTTTCCAATGCTTAGTGCTAAAATAGCTCTTTATTCTTCAGGGCAGAGGAAATCTGCTGGGGACACAAAATCTGCACTCCAAATCTACTCCCTGGACCGACATGTCTTTCGAACCTGGCTTATTTTTTATTTCGATTTTAGTCATGTTGAAAATAGCCACTTTAGGCCCTATTGATGAAGTATACTCACCGTTCAATGTCCAGGTTTTTGTTTCTCAGGTATTAATTATTTTATAAATTCGTCGTCGTATTTAGATTTTCTCGCCTGTCACATGTCAGCGATGTGATGCTGTAAGGCCGGTCGCGGTCTCCGCTATTTCTGGTCGACCAAATTGCGACCCCCCCCCCCCGCCCTCGCCCCATAACACGCCCCCATCAAGGACGTGTCTGAGTCTTTTTTATGGTAATCCACACGGAGTTATTGGCGATAAAATGGTGTTGGACACAACACAGTGGTTATTTTCAGCATACATGTAGATTTTTGCGAAAGAATTGCGTTTTGCAAATTTATTGGGTCTTAAAAATGAATTTACGTACATTTTTGAGACGGTGTTGTTTTGAAAATAATTCAAAATAAAATAAATTTTAGTTTAAAAACTATTGTCAGGAAGGTTTTAGGTTATCATTGTTTTTGCATTGTACCCAGCAATTACTGTAATCGCATTTTATTTCAAAGTAACCTTTTAGGTCTGCATCTTCCAATAATAATCCATTAAATTTTAAATAACCGTTTATATACTTTGATACAAATTAGGAGAGGTCTCAACAAGTTTATCTTATCGTTATCTACTTAAAATCTTATCAAAATTGTTTAAAAATGTACATACAGTACAAGTTTTTATTGAGTTTTTTGTGATATTCCAATACCTATTTAACATATTATTAAAATAATTCTTATTCTTTATCAAAAGTTTATAGATATTCCTTACATAACATATTAAATTCTCAAAATCCGTTCTTTAAATTCAGATAGCTAACTACTTACGGTGATTTTTAATTGTGATTAGGTTTACCACAACACAATGGTTAAAAATGTGTTTGGTCTGTTATGAACAAATTTAATCGGCAGACTTAATTATTTTCGAACCTATTCACCTATTCAGCTATTGGTTCTGATGATGGTTGGAGCTTCTAATCGAAATAGACTACCACCATTGAGTATAAACCTAACTCGGTTTATAAACCTATTGAGTATAAACCTAGTTAGGGTTATACTCAATGCTACCACTTAGGCCTACCGACTTATGAATTAATTTATCGTCCTGTAGAGAATAAAAAATACATGTTGTATAATTATAAATATTGTTGTAATACGAAATCGTATGCACTTCCGATTGTCATGGTCGGAGTGCAGCCACACTCATTACTGATTTTTATCACCCGTAAATATTTATGGATACCATAAAACTAGTGGTCGTCATTATCTGGTTGGTGTGAATTAGCACACAATCGACGCCGAGTCGCGTGCACCGTGCGCCGAGCGCCGAGCAGGCTACATCAGATAGTGCCGTGTGTTGTGTTCACGCGGTAGTGATTATATTATTTATAGTGTCCCAAAGAGGATGCCAGTGTTTAACTGGGCGGTAGCGGTAGCGGTAGCGGTAGTTGTATTGTAGGGTGTGCCAGTCTGCGTGTCGTATCTGTCATGCCATCGATAGTTTCCACACTTGAGTATGATCGGGTCGAATGACAGTTGTTAATGATGTATGTAATTTTTCCCATGGAAAATGTTTTTAATGCGTGAAGAAATCTGTTTACTGTATTGTGACCACTAAAAAAGTCCTGTATGTTGAATATAAAGTCTAACCATGCTCTTCGAAGTGAAAATTTTTTTGTAAGAAGATTTGTAAATGTCCAACTTGAGATGAAATGGCTCACTAGATATTTTTGGAATTTCCCTCACGATTACATAAAAATAACCAGCAAGTCATTAAAATAATATAAGTTTTGCTCATTATGTTTATAGCTAGGGACCATCAATGGTCTGAAAAGCCCTCTTGCAATATTTATCCATAATGCCTCATGAATCGAGTAACAAAACATAACTTATCTCACTCCCAGTAGGACGATACTAACCTACTGGTAATAACCGGTGAATCCAATATTATTTTTACTTCATAAATAGGTGTTTATAATTGAGTTGTTTATATCGTTGATAATCAGTGAGAAATGCAATTCTTCATTATTTTAGCAACTCTAAATATTCTTTACATAGTGTAATAGCATAGATAAAATAAATTTTTCATGCACAATATTGTATAGGGCCTAGGGTATTACTTTGATCTAAGGCGATTGACAATTTACAGTCTAGGGTACCGTACTTCACATTTAGCAATGCTGTCAACACATGGAACCATTGTCTCGTTGCACGGGTGCATGTCTCCGCGACAGGTGAGCTATTTCAGTTGGCAGCTATTGTAATAGCAGTTATCTAACTGGAATAGCTTAGCGCCCCCGCGCCGCCGCCACGCCGCCCACCGCATTGTCTGTAATTGATATCCGGAGCGTAATCCGCTGTGTGGTTGTTTCGCACACTAGACTATAGTGTCTGGCGGAGAAATTAGCAAAAGAGAATAGGAAAAGCTGGTGGACCTTCGGAAATCATGTGAGGTGCACGAGTGAACGGTATAGTGAGTGAAATTTGTTTCACTTAGGAAAAAGTTGTACAGTAATTTGAAAAGTTGAGTACACAGCGCAGTACGTGATAGAACAACCGATGTCTGTCACGTTTTAAAGAGTAAATTATCGAAAATGGCACAAGAGCATGAATCTATAGGCATGAATGGGC